AAATAAATAAATAATGGGAGGTTACGTGATAAAAAAGAATTATAACAAGGTAGCTAGTCAATTAATATGGACCATGAAAACTTGTGATCACTTATTCTTTGAATGCAGTTTTACCAAACCAGTATGGAAACACTTTTGTGACTCATACCTCCCTTTCATGTGGCCAACATCTTTATACGAACTCCTCAAGTCTGTTGAATCTCTTCGTTACTCTGATGGGGTTTTATGGAGATCAATTTTCACTGCAGTGTGTTGGAGCTTATGGACATCAAGAAATAAATCTATTTATGGAGAAATTACTTTCTTCTATCCACTAATCTTTATGGATACAGTTCGTATCATGCTTTTGTAAACATACTTTTGATTTTAATGAACAGGAATATCCCTAGTTTTTCTCTAAAAAAAAAATATGGACCATGAAAACTATAACGGCCAAAGAGAAATGTTCCCTTGAATATTGTCTGTCTGATTTTTTTAATTAGTTAAGCAATTAGTACTTGGCAATAATTATGCTCCATCTATTATATGATTTTATGAAACTGGTTTATTGGAGAGGGAAATCAAGGTAATTTTTGTGATATTGTTTTAATTTTATTAAATAGACTTCGCTCCGTTGTAATGAACAAAATATAGTGGTATTCAGTATCACTATTACTTAAATAAATGGGAAAAAGTTATATCTGAGCAATTTTCTTGATTCTCTTTTAATTAACCGAAACGATAAAAAATATATTCCATTGTGATGTCTGGAAATAGAAATTATTGCGGGTCAAAGCAGAACTCATACTACAAATCCAATCAACATAGCTATAACATCAAAAATGTCAGGACAATTCAGTTGGCATGTCATGCGATCTCAAAAGGAAATATACATTTACATCAAACTATAGCGTGAACATCTGAAAAATGATCCCCTCCTCCGTATACACTAACATAAAGTTACAAGCAAGAGCCAAAAGGCTTCAATCTTCAAACTAAATTCTACAAAGAAAAGGAACCAGTACTATGAAAAGTGAAAACGTACTCTTACAAAATTATCGGAGAAGAAAAAAATTTTCTTCTCCTTCTGAGACATGCACGTACTAGTTATGCGACGGATTCGATTTGCTTGGTGGCATCTTCTTCAAGCTTGCGTTTAGAGCTTTCTCATTCTCTGCTGCTGTTTTCGATGCTCGATCCTCCGAGATTCTTTTTTGTTGCACCGTTCCTCTGAGAAGCTTTCTTTCGAGAGACCGAGGTGGTAATGGATTGCTAAATAGAACGTTAAGAAGAAGAAGAAGAATAGTAGTTAGAACACAAAGAGCTCTTGGAACGCTTCTCATGATTGCTTGATGAAGTGAAAAGGTAAGAGAGTAGTTTTCTATATATAAATATGACATTAATGAGACAAATTCGTAGGTAAGGTAAAAGGCTCGTCGAAGATTTTTAAGATTGGAGGAGTTGTGGAGTAAAGAGAGATGCGAGTAAGAACACGTGATCTCGGGATCAGATTAATCTCTTATCTGAGCAGCATATGACCCGTGCGCACGTGGTTTTCATATATATATATATATATCTGCACATTCTACTGAGAGGAAGATTATGTTCACTCTTTGAACTTTTAATGCAAGGAATGAGAATGAAGAGTGCATAAAATTATCAGTCAACAGAGACAGTAGACCAAAGCAATGCTCTACCCATGAGAGTAAACAAAGTCATAATATATACATCTTGTGTATGATATAGAATCATCATATTCCCATTTCATGTTTTTTTTTCATATAACGTGATCTTCATCCACTGTAACGGCCTTAATATGTAACTAGTATGTGTAAAAAATTCAGTGATGTCGGATGCATGCTGAGTTCAATATCTCATCAAAAAGAAAATTTTCTCCCTAACAAACACTTTCTGCATATCAGAGAGCAAGTATTTTATCTTGGCTTAAGGGTGTGTTTGTTTCATATCTGATGTAGAACACTTAGCAGATACGTTTATATCAAAGTGGGACAATCGTAAGCTTAAATGCGGGCATAGTCGAAGAAAATAACTTGTTTCGAAGAAACGACCGTAACTTTCAAACCGTACGTCGGAATTGGACGAATTATATATGAAAATCGACTTTCTCGACGAGACGGAGCCATCCAAACCCACCCCTTTGGGTTCGGTTTGCGTTCTCAGTTTCGCCAAATTCCTTACGGTTTGAGAGATATTTGTATTTTTGTCTGTTTTTTTATTATTTTTAGTAATATTTTAGGAGTCTGTTTTGTTTAGGAAACAAATCCGATTTGATCTCAGATTTGACTGGAGGACTTTCCTAATCATAAGGAGTCTTTTTAGGAGTTTTGATGTTTTAGGAATTCTTTACCATTTTTGGTAAGTTGAGAGTCCTTGTAGGAATTAGAGTCCTTGAAGGAGTCTTGTTTCTTTTCTATTTAAGAAGAGTCTTGTAACTTGTAAGCCCTAGAGGCATAACTTTTCATCAATAAAATTTCTCTTTTCAATATTTTCTTCGTGGATTCGAAGTTCTTCGTGGATTCGAAGATCGTTTTTTGTGGATTCAGAGAACACCCTTGGTGGATTCCGATGTTACAACTTCCGCGCTGCGTCAATATCCGAAAAATATAGGAAACCGAGTAGTAGCAAAACTTATTTCCACCCCCTTTCCATGTGCGTATAGGAAAAAGAATTTCATCATTTGTTTCGGCACGGGAACATAGGGAGGAAATATTTTCTATCTCGTTCTCTTGTCTAGTTCAAAAACCAAAAATAAGAAAACATTTGAGCTGGAAACCTTTCTATCATTATTTAATTATTATATTTTACCAACTTCCCGTATCATCTCATTATTTAATTACTAACCAACTTTTTCCAGCTCATTTCCTCACATTTTGAGAGGAATTGGTTTCCATCCAAAAAGTGGTTTCCCCCAATTTTAAGGAAATATTTCTTAAATTTTTTTTTGGTGAAACAAACAAAGGAATCGGAAACCATTGGAAAAAAGTGCGTGCAGACCCCGTGTAGTATCATTGTTTTGAGCTTACCATGCCTATAGTTTGTAGATAGACCCTCTTGGCCAACTTTTTTTGGCTATTTAACCTCCTAAAAAGTTGCTAACTTCAATCATGAACAATATCTTCCAAAATTTTACACAGGGTAAAAGAGTAAAAATAATCCTGAGGCCCCATTCTGGAACAAGGGAACTAGAGTTGAAAGCTCTGTGAGAACTAAACTTCTCTCTTCTATGATTACTACCGAGAGATATGCAATTGCTAGGAAGCGGCTGATCATGTGAATGCTAATTTAACAATTTTATTCCTCTGACGCACCCCACAATCCCTCTGGTACTAGTTTTATAAAAGTCATGTGATGAGAAATAGTGGTCACATGAGATTAAACAGCTGGTGGGTTTTGGATTTGGATTTAGATTCAGCATAGCAACCTTAGGCTTCTTAGCTTAGCTTGGATTAGCTGCATAAGCCAGCTTTCCAGGTTTTATTCAACCACGTCCCGTCAGAGGAAGCGTGAAAGTACTACTTAGGAATTGGGAAGGGGTTACTTTCCCACAAAAAATAGCAATTAAAAAGGAGAGATGCTTCAAATTATTTTATTTTTGTGGCAAAGTGCACATTTGACCATGTTGTCTCTTTTATGAAAAACTTGGCGGTGAGAGACCAAATTGTGCGTTCGTCCTTATGGCTTAGATCAAACTTGAATTTGAATCCATATATCACATACACCGTAGTCTTTTTTTAAGTTACTATCAATGTATGTATGATCCTTAATCGTTTTTTATGTGGTTTTCTCCATTTAAAAAAAATATATATACGCTGCTATATCTTTTTCAGCACATAACGTTCATATAAAGATGTACGTTTAACACCTATGAGAGAACAGGAGTCTCACTATATCATATTGAAAAATTGGGAGATCTATATATACGAGTCTTTACAGAACATTAACGTCATAATGTGACACTAACTTGAATCTATTTGGATCTCAATGGGATCTCTCTCGTCGGCTTTGGTGGCATCCTTCACAGATCACTCTCTCTTTTGTACGGTACTATTTACACAAATCATTGTTGCTAGGCCACTAATGTCAAAATGGTATCTCTAATCAGTGATTAGCCTCTGCTCAATGTAATCAAAATTCAAAAAGTGGGTTTAGGTTCAAATCTCGCTAGCTTAGCTGGGTATGCAAGCTTTCCAGATCGTGTGGTTCTTTAGCTTGTGATTTCACATGCAATTTGGAAAAGAGAAGATGCTTTTGGACTTTGGCTCTTCTACTTTTAAAATTTTTGACTCGATTCAAAGACTAGACATTT